GGGGGGGGGGGGGGGATAAGCTTCAGTCAACAAAAGTTCCGAAACACAGGCATCACCCCTTCTGTCATTCTTGAGGCCATGTATTTTCGCAACAAAGCTGCCCCCACTCATTCAATGAAAACCCACGTATTATTACATGTAATTATCATCATCCTATAGCAAAAACTGGCTTTTGTGTATGGGTAGTGTCTCCAGGGAGCGAAGGGTCTACAGAACCAAATAATCACTGGTTCTCTCTCTTCATTTGGGAACATCGTCGCAGTTAACCCTATCCGTACGCCGTGTTTTACTATCGTATCCATACGACGTGGGGAACTATGTACCACCACTTAACCCTATCCGTACGCCGTGTTTTACTATCGTATCCATACGACGTGGGGAACTCTGTGCCACCACTTAACCCTATCCGTACGTCGTGTTTTACTATCGTATCCATACGACGTGGGGAACTCTGTGCCACCAATTTCAAAGAGGAAATTTACTCGTTGATCTGATCCGTACACTTGCATAGCAGTCTGTCAAAATGAATTTTTGAGAAATACTGAAAGTTTCAAAGAGATCTTCGTATCAGAAGTATTCTAAAATGTGAAGAATACAACCCCGGGGGAATAAAATGACCCCAGGGCGTACGGATAGGGTTATATGAACTCTTAGACAGTGATACAACCTGACCATCAATGATTTATTTATAGAGGCACCAGCCATCCATGTCCAAGGTGCTGTTTTAGCCACAGTGATACAAAATGGTCTCATTAATGTAGATAGTAATAGGCGCCAGGAAACCACCAAAATGAGTAGGGTGCTCAGCACTCGAAACTGCTTCATTTCCACAAAAGTACACTGTTCACCCCTTTCGGGGCACTCGCAAAAGCAGTCACAACCACTGATTATGTAAGCTAATAATTAGACTAGTAGTATATAGAGTCCACCTGAAAAGGTGAAAGGGGGCGTTGGGTGGGGGGAGGGGGTTAACCCCTAATAATTGCATGACTGTTGTAAGTCCTTGTTTTTCCTTCGACGTTTTACCTCCCTATAATGAGGTCATGGCATGAGTAGATTGACTCCTTGCCGCGAAAGGCTATATTAATTATAAAGACTGCCAAATTTGAAATCAGACTGATAATACATTTATATTGTAATAATGCCACCTCTGTTTCTTTGACTTCTGTTTTTGTATATATAGATTTTTAATTTTATATATATATATATATATATATATATATATGTATGTATGTATGTATGTATGTATGTATGTATGTATGTATGTATGTATATATATATATATTATACGTTTTGCCTGAAGTGGGAATAAACATTATTTAAAGAGATACTTTCTCGATTATTTTGTCGTGTCAACATATAACATAAATTCAGTGTTTGTTTTCGTTCACAATTCAGTGGTGCCGTCTCGAATAAGAAGTTTTGTTAGATCTAAGTCTGTTCCCTTTGTGTGGGAAATTTGTCGTGTGTGGTCTCATCTGTATCAGCTGTTCTTTGTTTCATTTTGATGACCGTGTCAGACAAGTCAGCCTGTGGGTGGTTCGTGGGTGCTCTGGTGTGGTTTGCTCCTTCTTTCCTATCAAACATCTATCGTCTTTATCTCCCCTCCTGCTTTTTTGTGTTTGTTACTCTCTTGTAACACCTCTAATCTTCGACATTTATATGACCTTATTGTGTTGCAAGTGCCGTAAAACTCTTACTAAAACTAAACAAGTCAGCCTTCGCCCCCGAGTGTCCCTGTCTGCTCAGGTTGGCCCTGACGAAGGGTGGAAGTGCCCCCCCCCCCTCCCCCCGCCTTCTGAAAGGTTTCAATAGTTTCGATGATGGCGTAAAACGCCTGTTACATTTCTTACTACTTATTAGATCTCTATTTCTCATGTGGATGTATTGCTAAAGAAAAATAAGGGCCGCAGAAGGAAAAATATTTCTTCCTTTAGTTAAAAACTTGTAGCTTATAGAAAGATTTTTGCTTCCACAGCTTTTTTTCACTGTTCATCTCGACACATGGAAGTAGAGTTTTTAAAAAAAGTTCAAGGCCTCTGGCGTTGCAAAACAATGTCCTTTAAGCAAACTTAGCTTGGCAACAGTAAAAAAATATGCTACGATTCATCTTAATTAAGTAATTTTAATGTATTATTATATGATAAAATATTATCCATGTTTTTTCCATTTTATCGAAAATGAAAAGTGGCAATGCGACGGTAACGTTATACATCATGTACATAAGATAGCCGTTTTTGTAAATGATTTACGTCCCCTTGGATACAACGTAGGTCACTTGGGGTGGGACACAGGCTGCTTCGATCTTGCCCGAGGGCCAACTAGGGCCAACGAGGGCCAACGAGGGCCAACGAGGGCCAACGAGGGCCAACGAGGGCCAACAAGGGCCAACTAGGGCCAACGAGGGCCAACGAGGGCCAACGAGGGCCAACGAGGGCCAACGAGGGCCAACGAGGGCCAACAAGGGCCAACGAGGGCCAACAAGGGCCAACGAGGGTCAACTAGGGCCAACGAGGGTCAAAGAGGGCCAACTAGGGCCAACGAGGGCCAAAGAGGGCCAAAGAGGGTCAACGAGGGCCAACGAGGACCAACTAGGACCAACAAGGGCCAACGAGGGCCAACAAGGGCCAACGAGGGTCAACTAGGGCCAACGAGGGTCAAAGAGGGCCAACTAGGGCCAACGAGGGCCAAAGAGGGCCAAAGAGGGTCAACGAGGGCCAACGAGGACCAACTAGGACCAACAAGGGCCAACGAGGGCCAACAAGGGCCAACGAGGGTCAACTAGGGCCAACGAGGGTCAAAGAGGGCCAACTAGGGCCAAAGAGGGCCAAAGAGGGTCAACGAGGGCCAACGAGGACCAACTAGGACCAACAAGGGCCAACTAGGGCCAAAGAGGGCCAACTAGGGCCAAAGAGGGCCAACGAGGACCAACTAGGACCAACAAGGGCCAACTAGGGCCAAAGAGGGCCAACTAGGGCCAAAGAGGGCCAACTAGGGCCAAAGAGGGCCAACGAGGGCCAAAGAGGGCCAACTAGGGCCAAAGAGGGCCAAAGAGGGCCAAAGAGGGTCAGCGAAGGCCAACGAGGACCAACTAGGACCAACAAGGGCCAACTAGGGCCAAAGAGGGCCAAAGAGGGCCAACTAGGGCCAAAGAGGGCCAACTAGGGCCAAAGAGGGCCAACTAGGGCCAAAGAGGGCCAAAGAGGGCCAACTAGGGCCAAAGAGGGCCAACTAGGGCCAAAGAGGGCCAACTAGGGCCAAAGAGGGCCAAAGAGGGCCAACTAGGGCCAAAGAGGGCCAACTAGGGCCAAAGAGGGCCAAAGAGGGCCAACTAGGGCCAAAGAGGGCCAACTAGGGCCAAAGAGGGCCAACTAGGGCAGAGCGAGACAGACAATTCCAACAGACTGTCGGGGACACATGCAAGAAAATTCCTTTCCACTCGAGAATCAAACGCATGTCATTTACGTGCAGAGCCGATGAAGCTAATCTCCCTGCCGCAGCTGCAGATATTATGTATATTATGGCTCTTTTCGTCTATGCAGACGGTCAGTTTAGCTTTAGATGGTCTCAAGGTTGTCTTTATGCAACTTCTTTCCTGGGTAATTCTTCCTATGTTTGAAGCACAGATTCTGTTGTAGTGCTTGCATGTCAGTGACGTGGATCGAAGCTCTGTATTTCCGCTGTAGAAAAGTAAATTAAATAACCTAAATGAAGATTGGCAGTAAAGCTGAGTTCTTACTTTTCCATCGAAAAGATGTGACACATTTTGGTTACTTATTCAGATTGTGCACATGTCTGTTACCGAATGTTTCCTGAGAAGCAGAGAAATCCATTTGCGGCACTCCAGTTTTAAAATAGTACATTTGCGGCACTAGTGATTTGAATGCCTCAAATGGTACATTTTCCCTATTGTTAATATGTAGTGACACAAATGGGATATTAGTTTTCTATTGTTTGAGTTTAGTGGCGCAAAGTGGATACAGCCTCCCTGGCCTGCTGGGATTCTTCTCTTCTTCTTTGCGTTCGCCAGCTAGACCTCCGGGGTAATTGCCTGCTGGCTCTTCAATCCACACTGTAGCTGGTTTGTACGTATGTGACCGTGTTTCCTACCTCAAACAGGTACATTTCGATTGTTTTATAGTGACAAAAATATTTTCAGTATGATGTGCATATAAATATAATAGTTGCAAAGCGCATAAACCGTTCTGTAAAGCATAGACATTCGCTATGCAAATACAATTATTTAAGCTATGGAGAAATAATTGTGATACCTATTGCTTACCGTTATTGCAGCTGAAGACTTTATCTTACTCTCAGACTGACTACTCTAGAGCAACGGAAAACAACCAGAGAATCTCACAGCATCATTCCGACACGCCTGGCCCCCCCAAAAAAAGAAGAAACATGACATGCCCACACGCCCACTCAGCAGGAGTAATAGATTGATTCAACGGTGGAAATGAATGGAAAACGACATTCTTCTTGTTCTGTTAGACGAAGCTGAGAAAAAGGCGTTCATCTGTACGTACATCTGAACGCATATCTATATGTAGATAGAGGGATAAATTTGGCAGATTGGGAAATAGAGTATACGTACAGAGTCAAAACTCGGTAGATCTATGTTTTTCCAACCCTTGTATATGGAGCGGAGTCATTGACTGTGTACAAAGCACATGCAAGCAAGCACAACAGGCTTCATCTCTCCTGTCTGAAAAGAATACTGGGAATTTACTGGAGGTCATTCGATCCCAGACACCGAGAAAGTGAAAGCCCCAAACATCCTGTTCCACTTGAACTCCAGCCTTGATGGGTGGGGCATTTGGTCCGAATTCCAAACACGGCTGCCTGGAACTGTTTTCTATTAGTAGTTTTAGTAAGAGTTTTACGGCACTTGCAAGACAATACGGTAATATAAGTGCCGAAGATTAGAGGTCTTCCAAGAGAGTAACAAACATAAAAAAGAAGGAGGGGAGATAAGGACGATAGATTTCTATAGAGGAAAGCAGGAGCTAACCACACCAGAGCACCCGCCAACCACCCACGTTTTCTATTCAGAAAGTGTATGACTATATGTTGAAGGCAGAACATTGGTGCCTCTTCCCCCCCCCCTCCCTTTCCCCCAAAAAATCTGTAAAGACACTCTAAAAACTTCTCATAAAGACTATCTCAAGGATGTGGATGAGTAAGGAACCCTTTGTCTTGATTTGTCCCGGAGACGTAAAATCATGACAAGTGGAAGTAGGTTTTTTTTTTGAAGAATAAAGCTTGAAAAGTATAGGCAGCTAGAGAAGCTAGAACATCAAGACAGCTAAATCTTAACACTGACACCAACTCAACAGACCACAAAAGATCTGTTTGGGGGGGAATTCAATTTTAAAAATGATACATTTAAAAATATATAAACAAATGAAATAGCGCTTGAAGGTCATAAACGACAACACAAGGAGGCAATGAACCATATTTAAAAAAATAAGAAACATCACACGCCAATACGCCCACACGCCCACACGCCTA